CACTGCAACCTCTGCTTCCTGGGTTCTAGCAATTCTCCTGCTTCAGCCTCCTGAGTAGGATTACAGGTGCACGTCGCCATGCCCGGCTAATTTTTTGTGTTTTAGAAGAGACAGGGTTTCACTGTGTTGCCCAGGCTAGTCTCAAACTCCTGAGCTCAGGCAATCCACCCACCTCGGCCTCCCAAAGTGCTAGGATTACAGGCGTGAGCCACTGCTCTTGGCCCTGGCTCTTTTTATTTATTTTTATTTATTATTATTTTTTGAGATGGAGTTTCACTCTTGTTGCCCAGGCTGGAGTGCAGTGGCGTGATCCCAGCTCACTACAACCTCTGCTTCCTGGGTACAAGCAATTCTCCTGCCTCAGCCTCCCAAGTGGCTGGGATTACAGGCATGCACCACCACGCCCAGCTGATTTTGTATTTTTAGTAGAGATGGGGTTTCTCCACTTCGGTCAGGCTACTCTCGAACTCCCAGCCTCAGGTGATCTGCTTGCCTCGTCCTCTCAAAGTGCGGGGGTACAGGTGTGAGCCACCATGCCCGGCAGCTCTGTCTTTTTAAAGTGCTTCAAAGTTCTCTGAAGAATCCTGAGTCTTCCTCATAGTGTCTTTATAAAAGTTCTGTTTTGGAGAATTGCTTGAGGCTAGGAGTTTGAGACCAGCCTGGTCAACATAGCAAGACCCTACCTCTACAGAAAATTTAAAAATTAGCTGAGCGTGGTGGCTTGTGTCTCTAGTCCCAGCTACTTGGGAGGCTGAGGTAGGGGGATCACTTAAGCCCAGGAGTTTGAGGTTGCAGTGAGCTGTGATCACGCCACTGTACTCCAACCTGGGTGACAGAAGACCATGTCTCTAAAAAAACACACACACAAAAAGAAAAAAATAGTTTTGTTGATTTTTTTTTTTCTTCAAAGAAGTTGAAGTAACATATAGCTACTTCTTGAACTTGATACAATGAAATGATAATCAGGATCCCCAGCAGAAAAATCTGTTGCTGAAAATTTGCATTCCTTTTGTATACTACACTAACTCAAAGAATCTTCAGTTCTTTCTCTTCTGCTCTCTTCTCTCAACCTCCAGGGGAAAGTAGGTATGTTCTGCTACCCAGGCAGTAAGAAATCTGCTGAGTTGCTGTGCTGTGGAATGAATTGTGTCCTCACACCCCCGACAGCCCCACACCAAATTCATATGGTGAAGCCATAACCCCCAATGTATTGATATTTGGAGATGGGTCCTTCAGAATATCATTAGGTTTAGATGAGGTCATGAAGACGGGACCCTCATGATAGGATTAGTGCCATTTTAAGAAAAGATATCAGGCCGGGTGTGGTGGCTTATGCTTGTAATCCCAGCACTTTAGGAGGCTGAGGCAGGAGGATCATGAGGTCAGGAGTTCGAAACCAGCCTGGCCAACATGGTGAAACCCCATCTCTATGAAAAATACAAAAATTAGCCGGGCGTGGTGGCGGGTGCCTGTAACCCCAGCTTCGTGGGAGGCTGAGGCAGGAGAATCACTGGAACCCAGGAGGCAGAGGTTGCAGTGAGCCGAGATCGCGCCGCTGCACTCCAGCCTGGGCGACAGAGCAAGACTGTCTTGGAGGGGGAAATAAAAGGCATCAGAGAACTTTCTCTGTTTCTTTGCCATGTGAGGACACAGTGAGAAGGTAGCTATCTATAAGCCAGGAAGAGAGCCTTCACTAGAAACTGGCCCAGCTGGCACCTTGATCCAGAACTGTGAGAAAATAAATTTCTGTTGTTTAAACCACCCAGTGTGTGGTACTTTGTTAGGGAGCCTGAGCTGACTAAGACGTGCTAGGTTTATCACATTCCTCCTTTTAACTTTCAGGTTCTTCAAAATTTTTGTTTTACCTTGCCTCTGAGCTGTCTGTGATTTCTACATCTCATTGGCTCCTTTCTAAGTCACTGATGGCTATATGTCTCTTTCCAAAATACAACACCTATAATCTCCTTTGAAACTCAAAAAAATCCTGAGAAAGTTCAGGAAAATTATGACTTATCCTAGATCATATAGAAAGTAATGAAAAATAGGACTAGAACCAAGGTCTTTTGGTATTTTCCCACTAAATTATGCAGTAATATTTTTTCTTATTAATATAAATGTTATATATATTTATATTATATATAATATATAGAACATAAACATGTTATATTAATATAAATATATATACATATATGTATGTATACATATAACATATTTATATTAATATAACATGTTATATAATATATATATAACATATATATAAATATTATATAATATTATAACATGTTATATATATAGTAATACAGAGTCTCGCTGTGTCGCCCAGGCTGTAATGCAGTGGCGTGATCTCGGCTTACTGCAAGCTCCACCTCCCGGGTTCACGCCATTCTCCTGCCTCAGCCTCCTGAGTAGCTGGGACTACAGGCGCCTGCCACCACGCCTGGCTAATTTTTTGTAATTTTAGTAGAGATGGGGTTTCACCATGTTAGCCAGGATGGTCTCGATCTCCTGACCTCGTTATCTGCCCGCCTCGGCCTCCCAAAGCGCCGGCATTACAGGAGCCGCTGCACCCGGCCTGTTATATAGGTTTTAATAGAGACAGAATCTTGTTATGTTGCACAGGCTAGTCTCAAATTCCAGGGCTCAAACAGTCCTCCTATCTCAGCCTCTCAAAGTGCTAGAACTACAGGTATGAGCCACTGTACCCAGCTAATAATTTTTTTCTGAATCAAAAATAGGGCATAAGACTAAGATAAATTTGTGAGCTTTATTTATAAGAAAAGGCTTAAAAATAGGAAAAGTTGGCCAGGCACGGTGGCTCATGCCTGTAATACCAGCACTTCGGGAGGCTGAGGCAGGAGGATTGCTTGAGGCCAGAAGTTTGAGACCAGGCTGGGCAGTATAGTAGTAAGACCCCATCTTTTAAAAGACTTTATAAATTAGCTGGGTGCAGTGGCTTGTGCCTGTAGTCTCAGCTACTCAGGAGGGTGAGGTGAGTCACCTAGGAGTTGAAGGCAGCAGTGAGCTGTGACCATGCCACTGTTCTGTAGCCTGGGTGACAGAGTGAGATCCTGTCAATAGATAGATAGATATGCTTATTATATATTTGATCAGTTGTTTAAAATCACCTGAAATTTGGTCTGTTTATGAAAATCCAAACCATAAAGTCTCCAAGTGTAGGTCCTTCCCTCAAGATAGTAAAATTTTTTTTTTAAGTTGATTGTTTTTAGGTCAGGGTTTGCCCAACTTTACCATGCCCTATGGTCTTAAATCGGTTCTGACTTAAGCATTTATATTACTTGCCTGGCCTTGTAGGCATTTGAGTTTGTGAATTCTAATGTGAATCATACATTTTGGCTGTGCAGTGGCTCACGCCTGTAATCCCAGCACTTTGGGAGGCCAAGGCAGGCAGATCACAAGGTCAGGAGATCAAGACCATCCTGGCTAACACGGTGAAACCTCGTCTCTACTAAAAATACAAAAAAGTTGGCCAGACGTGGTGGTGGGTGCCTGCTGTAGTCCCAGCTACTCTGGAGGCTGAGGCAGGAGAATGGTGTGAACCTGGGAGGCGGAGCTTGCAGTGAGCTGAGATCTTGCCACTGCACTCCAGCCTGGGCGACACAGTGAGACTCTGTCTCAAAAAAATAAAAAATGAAAAACAGACAAAAATTAGCTGGGCATGATGGCGCATGCCTGTGGTCCCAGCTACTTGGGAGGCTGAGGCAGGAGAATCACTTGAACTCGGGAGGTGGAGGTTGCAGTGAGCCGAGATCACTCGCCACTGCACTCTAGCCTGACAACAGAGCGAGACTCCGTCTCAAAAAAAAAATCATAAATTCCATAAAGGTTGAGATATTAAGTAGGAAGATTATTTAGAGAAAACCAGAAAGAAGGCTGGATCTAGGTAACAAGTGGAGTATAAGCCCCATGAGCAGGAACCCTACCTAACTCATTCTCTGCTGTCTCCCCTAACATCTCATAGATTGCAGAGTATTGAATGAATGAATGAATGAAGAATGAATAGCTGCCTTGTCTTCTCCCCACACCCTGCTATGTTGCCAGATTGTCCAGATGGAAGGAATGATCCTGTTCCTGCTTTTCCCATGGCCCACAGACAACTTGATTCCCTGTAAATCCCTATTTGATGTCCTAGCTCCCACTTCATCACTATTTAAATAATTACTCATAATCTCTGTAAATCTAATTGTAGTCACTTTCGGGGCATCATTTTCATAAACCTTGAATACTGGAGGTAGGAATAGAAACAATGTGTGTTGTCTTGATTATATAAGTTATTAGGGAGGAAAGAGTGAATGATCAGAAAGTTTTTTAGGCCTGACTTTGGAACATGTGTCCTTCAGACAATCCCAACTCCACCTTTCCTGCAGGGGCTCCTTTCAATTCTTTTATTGTGTTGCTGTTGACTTAAAACTGACACCTGTGTGAAAGAGAAAGGTATTTGTAAAGAAAGGGATATCTCTTACATTGCTATGATGTAAGGGCAGGTGGCTGTTGCTCCTTCGAATTTACCAGTGATTACATTGTAACTTTATATATTCCAGTTTATGAATATAGATATTTAAAAATTGCTAGTCCTCATTCTAAGTAAATTGTTTATTAACAACATTTGTCCCCCAAGCCCTCCACCGTTTGGTATCTAAAAATAGAAGCATGTATAGTTTAATTTGTACATTTTATTTATTTATGAGATGGAGTTTCACTCTTGTTGCCCAAGCTGGAGTGCAATGGCACGATCTCAGCTCACTGCAACCTCTGCCTCCCGGGTTCAAGCAACTCTCCTGCCTCAGCCTCCCAGGTAGCTAGGATTACAGGCATGCGCCACCACGCCTGGCTAATTTTGTATTTTTAGTAGAGATGGGGTTTCTCCATGTTGGTGAAGCTGGTCTCAAACTCCCGACCTCAGGTGATCTGCCTGCCTCAGCCTCTCAAAGAGCTGGGATTACAAGCGTGAGCCTCTGCACCTGGCCAATTTGTACCTTTTATAAAGAAAGATTACAAAGGGGTTAATTGGAGAGAGAGAGTTATAGTCACATTCACATATTGTCCCTTTAAATTGAAGACAAGTATATCTAATGGAAAACAACACAAATAACATGAACCAGGTTTAACTTACAGACTGTGTAGGGGAGTGTTGAAACTGGAACCCAGTGATGCAGCTACTGAAGAATTTTGAATAAACTCATGAGAGGAATGGGAGAACTGCTCGCCCAAACACAGATGTCTGTGCCATCAGACTGCAGATGCATTGTGACTATAATCTCTTGAGAAAACTCCTAAGAGGACCCCTGTACTGTCTGGAAGACTAGTGAGTTTCACTACTATTCATAATAAAGTCTATAACCATGTACTCGACCAACATCAGAGCACCTGAAAATTTGTTAGACACGCATAATCATGCCAGGAATAGGTGCAAATAACTGCTGGATTTTGTTTGTTTGTTTTTTGTTTTTTGACGGAGTCTCCTCACACTTTCACCCTGGCTGGAGTGCAGTGGTGTGATCTTGGCTCACTGCAACCTCTGCCTCCCGGGTTCAAGTGATTCTTCTGCCTCAGCCTCCTGAGTAGCTGGGACTACAGGCACACACCACCACCCCCAGCTAATTTTTGTATTTTTAGTAGAGACGGGGTTTCACCATATTGGTCAGGCTGGTCTCGAACTCCCAACCTCAGGTGATCTCCCCCCACCTCGGCCTCCCAAAGTGCTGGGATTATAGGTGTGAGCCACCGCACCAGCTAGAGTTGTCCTTTTTTAGATTTTCAAAATCTTTTGACACTTGTCATACCAAAAGCTATTTAGTAGAAAAATGATCAAAGGAATAGGCAACATTAAGATGGATTTAAACATTAAAATTCTTTTTTTTTTTTTTTGAGACGGAGTCTCGCTGTGTCGCCCAGGCTGGAGTACAGTGGCCGGATCTCAGCTCACCGCAAGCCCCACCTCCCGGGTTTACGCCATTCTCCTGCCTCAGCCTCCCGAGTAGCTGGGACTACAGGCGCCCGCCACCTCGCCCGGCTAGTTTTTTGTATTTTTTAGTAGAGACAGGGTTTCACCGGGTTAGCCAGGATGGTCTCGATCTCCTGACCTCGTGATCCGCCCGTCTCGGCCTCCCAAAGTGCTGGGATTACAGGCTTGAGCCACCGCGCCCGGCCTAAAATTCTTTTTTTTTTTTTTGAGATGGAGTCTTGCTCTGTCGCCCAGGCTGGAGTACAGTGGCACAATCTCGGCTCACTGCAAGTTCTGCCTCCTGGGTTTATGCCATTCTCCTGTCTCAGCCTGCTGTGTAGCTAGGACTACAGGCATCTGCCACTACACCTAGCTAATTTTTTGTATTTTTAGTAGAGACAGAGTTTCACTGTGTTAGCCAGGATGGTCTTGATCTCCTGACCTCGTGATCCGCCCGTCTCGGCCTCCCGACGTGCTGGGATTACAGTTGTGAGCCACTGCGCCTGGCCTTTTTTTTTTTTTTTTTTTTTTAATTGAGACAGAGTTTCACTCTGTCGCCCAGGCTGGGGTGCAGTGGCTCAATCTCGGCTCACTGCAACCTCCACAGCCTGGGTTCAAGCAATTCTCAGGCCTCAGCTTCCCGAGTAGCTGGAATTATAGGCGCCCGCCACCATGTCTGGCTAATTTTTGTATTTTTAGTAGAGACGGAGTTTCACCATGTTGGCCAGGCTGGAAACATTAAAATTCTTTAATTTGAAAAGAAAATAGTAGAATATGATTGAAGTCAGTTGATCTGGACAAAGTAAATTAAAATTGTTCATGAGATCCTAGAATACCATAACAGGCACCGCATAAAGTCAGAGAAAAAGGAAGCAGAACGTAATAGTATGGGCTAGTAGACTTTCTTCCCTTGTGTGTAAGGATCAAATAAGATGCTGAATATAAAGGTGCTGTCGTGACATTCATTGGGTGGCCCTGGAGGACACTCAATTCCAGGACCAGTCTGAAGGAACTGGCCTGTAAAAGGAAGATTTGGGGTGAGCAGTAAGGAGTAGTTGTCATAGGCAAAGGAGTTCCATGAGCTCCAGAGTCCTAGAATTGGGGGTATTTAGAAGAGTATAGGGAAAGGATTTAGGATGTGAGAGGAACTGATTGGTTATTAGAGGAATTTGAGAAGTGGTAGGAAACCCATGGCAGTATTGTAGAAGGGAAGGAGTTAACCGCTAATGCAGAGAAATATGTGATCATTATGAAAACTGGAGTGTGATGGTTGGGCACTGAGAATGAGGTGCTTGGGGATCTAGCTGTGTGAAGGGACTTGAAGTGAGAGCAGAGTTGAAAGACTGCTGATCTCGGTTTTAGAGAGCTCAGTTCTAGTCCTGAGACTGACTGACCTCATCCTTTTGATCATTTTGGATCTGTTTCATATATAAGATGAAGAGACTAGATTACGTTATTTCTAAATCCCGTCTACCTCTTAAATGATGTTTTTCAATTGATGTGGGGTCTGGTTATGTTGCCCAGACTTGTCTCAAACTCCTGGCCTCAAGTGATCCTCCCACCTCAGCTTCCCAGTGTGCTGGGATTCCAGGTGTGAGCCACCATGCCTAGCCTCTTTTAGCTCTTGATATTAAACTTTTTACTAAAAGAAGTTTTTTTGAGGCTTTAATAAAGTCACAGAAGACCAGACCACAGTTGATTACAAAGGAAAATTCAGACATTGTGGAGCATGTCTCTAACTCAGAAGGTGAAAAGGAAGGGTCTTTGTCAAATGATCAAATACTAGCATGAGTGGATCACCTAATTTGGCACTTGTAATGTTCAAACAGACTCTGATTTTCTTTTTTTTTTTTTATTTGAGACAGAGTCTCACTCTGTCAGGCTGGAGTGCAGTGGCGCAATCTCGGCTCACTGCAAGCTCTGCCTCCCGGGTTCACACCATTCTCCTGCCTCAGCCTCCCGAGTAAGTAGGACTACAGGCGCCCGCCACCACGCCTGGCTAATTTTTTTGTAGTTTTAGTAGTGACGGGGTTTCACCATGTTAGCCAGGATGGTCTCTATCTCCTGACCTCGTGATCCGCCTGCCTCAGCCTCCCAAAGTACAGGCGTGAGCCACCGCACCCGGCCCAGACCCTGACTTTCAAGCCCATTTTCTGTATGCTTCCCAACTTAAATGACACAGCACTGGGGTTTCCACTGTTCTGTTCTTTTATAGCCTTGTTACTCAAGGTGTGGTCCATTGACCAGCAGCATCAGCATCACCTAGGAGCTTATTAGAAATGCAGAATATCAGGGCAAGCATTGTGGCTCATACCCTGTAATCCCAGCACTTTGAGAGACTGAGGTGGGAGGATCACTTGAGGCCAGGAATTTGAGACCAGCCTGAGTACCATGGCGAGATCTTGTCTCCTATAAGTACTGCTCCTATAGCAGTGGTTCTCAAACTTTAACTGATATCAGAATCTCCAGAAGAGCTTGTTAAAACATAAATTGGCCAAAACTTCTGTTTCAGTAGGTCTGGAATGAGGCCCAATAATTTGCTCTTTTCTTTTTTTCTTTTTTTTTTTTTTGAAACAGGGTCTCCTATCACCTAGGCCCTAGGCTGGAGTGCAGTGGCATGGTCATGGGTCCTGCAGCCTCAACCTCCAAGGCTCAAGGAATCCTTTCAGCCTCTGGAGTAGCTGGGACTATAGGTACACAGCCCTACGCCAAGCTAATTTTTAATTTTTTTGTAGAAACGAGATCTCTCCATATTGCCCAGACTGGTCTCGAACTCCTGGCCTCAAGTTGCCCTCTGGCATTGGCCTCCCAAAGTGCTGGGATTGCAGGCGTGAGCCACCATGCCCTTCCAAATTTGTTTTTTTGTTTGTTTGTTTGTTTTGTTTTTTTGAGACAGAGTCTTGTTTTGTCGCCCAGGCTGGAATGCAGTGGTGCGACCTCAGCTCACTGCAACCTCCACCTCCCAGGTTCAAGCGATTCTCCTGCCTCAGCCTCTTGAGTAGCTGGGATTACAGGCATGTGCCACCATGCTCGGCTAATTTGTTTATTTTTAGTAGAGATGGAGTTTCACCTTCTTAGCCACGATGGTTTCGATCTCCTTATCTCGTGATCCTCCTGCCTAGGCCTCCCAAAGTGCTGGAATTACAGGTGTGAGCCACCATGCCCGGCCCCAAATTTGTGTTTTGTTGTTGTTTTTGTTTTGTTTTCATTTCTGTTTTTTGAGGTGTAGTTTCACTCTTGTTGCTCAGGCTGGAGTGCAATGGCTCGATCTCGGCTAGATCAGTGGCCCCCGGGTTCAAGTGATTCTTCTGCCTCAGCTTCCCAAGTAACTGGGATTACAGGCATGGGCCACCATGCCTGGCTAATTTTGTATTTTTAGTAGAGATGGGGTGTCTCCGTGTTGGTCAGGCTGGTCTTGAACACCCAACCTCAGTTGATCCACCCGCCTCAGCCTCCCAAAGTGCTGGGATTACAGGCATGAGCCATCACACCTGGCCAATTTGCGTTTTTAATACCTTAAGAACTATTTATGTTTTTGCTAGGAAGTCTTTGTCTTTAATTATGTCCTGCTCATGATTATCTGTTTTAAGTTTGCTTTTAATCTCCCCAGTAAGACTATCTTGTTTTGTGTTATTTTTTCAACAGCTTTATTGATGTATAATTTGCATACCAACAATTCACCTATTTAAAATGTATAAGTCAATAATATTTAGTATATTCACAGATACGTGCAACTATCACCACAGCCAATTTTATAACATTTTCTTTCTTTTTTTTTTTTGAGATGGGGTCTCGCTCTATCGCCCAGGCTGGAGTGCAGTGGCACGATGTCGGCTCACTGCAAACTCCACCTCCCGGGTTCACACCATTCTTCTGGCTCAATTTTTTGTATTTTTAGTAGAGATGGGGTTTCACCGTGTTAGCCAGGATGGTCTCGATCTCCTGACCTTGTGGTCCGCCCGCCTCGGCCTCCCAAAGTGCTGGGATTACAGGCGTGAGCCACCGCGCCCGGCCTAACATTTTCATCATCAGAAAAAGAAAATAGGTAGAGCACTGAGGAATTTTAGGGCAGTGAAACTATGTAGTACAATGCTGTAATGATGGATATGTGTTGTTGTACACTTATCAAAACCCACAGGATGTACAACACCAAGAATGAACCCTAATGTAAACTTTGGGCTTTGGATGATAACGATGTGTCAACGGAAGTTCATCAGCTGTAACAACCACTCTGCTGTGGGGTGTTGATAGTGGGAGAGGCTACACGTGTGTAGGATAAGAAGCTATATGGAAACTCTGTATTCTCTGCTCTCTTTTGCTGTGAACCTAAAACTGCTCTAAAATAAAGTCTTTTAAGAAAG